TTGCATGAAAAAGAATGCGCTATGCTGGCGCAGTGAGAGTGGATCATATATATATGTATAGTCTTAGCAGGTCAGTTGTGTGGGGACCTTGAGCTAGCAACTTCTCGACTGCGCAGGGCTAGAGCTGTGTAGAGGTTTCAGGGCAGGCTCTTAGTAATTGCTTTGTTGCGGCAGCAGGCTTGGCTGTGATCCAATTGGTCAAAACATGTCAAACCAGGGCGAGAGATGAACACCAAAACGCTTGCAGTTCGTGAGCAGTTGTTGGCTTCCACATTGTGAGCCAAGATGGTGAAACGTTTATTCTGGAGGGCTTGGAGTGTTGAATGAACCGCGGTCTTTATCCAAGGTGGGTCTATGCGTCTTGGCTGCAAGGGTTTGTGCGGATTTGTCGTGGGCTCATGCACTTGGTCATTCGATGAATGACGCTTGGTCATTCGAGCTGTCAGCACATTGAATGACACGACTCACGACATACACCTTACTTACACCAGAATCCACCAGACGACAAACCACCGATCCACTTACGTATTGTAGCACGTTGCCGTTGACGTGGCCGAAGAATCCGCAGCCACAAAGCCCGAAAAAACCATCCCTTCGATGGGGTGGTGAGAATTGGTAGGAATCCACAGCACAAGGAATTCTTAGGCCTTCACAATATTACCATGTTCCACATACTATATAATTACCTTATGTACTCATCTATTCTGAATCAATGTTCAAGATGCCATTCTGGAAGGCCCTACAAAGTTTCAATCCCTTCCATTGAGACGTAGCGTTCCCGTTTTGATGGTCCGTGCATCGCTGATCGAAGACGCCATCGTGCCCTATGATTTGCCCAAAGAGGTAGATGTTGAGCTGGTCACCGATGATGATGGCAACATTTATAGAGCCAAAGGTCGTTTTGTGGCCCAGTACAGCAGCCGACTACGACAAGTGAACACCTTCCAGGGCGAAGTCCCTTTATCTCCTGGGGAGTTCTTCAAACTACGCGTGTTGGAGGTCGGATCTTTTGGAGAAATCGCCATCGGCCTCAGTGCGGAGCGTCACGCGGTGGATCCCGAGGTGGACATGGTGGGATGGGCTCTGAATGAGGTGGGCTTCCAAGGAGACCATGGGAGGTGCTATGTCCATGGCCATGAAGCCAAACGACGTTCAAGTGCTTCCTGGGCAGTGGGTCAGGAGATTGAATGTGGCTTGACGGCCCATGCCAATGTTTACTTCAAGCACATCCGGGAAGATGGAACTGCATTGCTGGAAATGCCTGGACGTTGGCAGATCTCTTCTGCATATCCCACCGTGACCATTCGGTCCCTGGGTGCTAAGGTGGAGATCGATTTGAGCGGAGTTGAGCAGAAGCCGTTGAAGGATTTGCTTCCACATAGCGGCCCTGCATGGAGCTCCAGTGTCTCCACACAGCGCAGGTTTGGCTCCTCGACTCTCAACTTGCTGACATCCTTCAAGAGGACAGTCATTGAAGAAGAGCAGTGCCAAGAAGGGGTTGGGGTCACCACACTGGAACGCCTTTTTGGACCCCAAGCAGCATGCTGTTGCAACTGTGAAATGGCTCAGCCATCATCCATCAAAGCTTGAGTTTCACCTGGGAGCCTGGAAGGTTGGTGCCAAAAGGCTTGGCGCCGCGGGTTTCACTTGTTTTGTTCTAAGAGAGCAGCATTGCAACATGTGTCACCTAAGGGGCCCTCAGGATAAACATATTGTGTTTTTTTCGCACTGAGGTTTTGTGAAGGAGAAGCCCTGCTGTAAAGCAGCGCGGCAGCGGGTTGCGCGTCAACCGTTCGCTGTCGCCAGCGTGCAGCTCGCTGATATGCCACGCCATGCTCAGGGTGTCTCGTGAGAGCCTCAGAGGATGCCAGCTGCCAGCCAGCGGAGTAGATGAAAAGTGAATAGCAATGATCATCAATTTTAGCACCTTGGGTGTATTTGGCATGCTGTTTGGGAACAGGATTGGGAACAGACATTAGAAAGGAAACCCGGGTGGATCGCCCGCCAAGGGCTGCTAGCCAAGCAATACAAGAGCGACGTCGCTTGGTTGATTTCATCACCAGGTTTCCCAGGGAAAGGTGCCAAGGGTTACAGTAAGTTATGTTGATGAAGCGCAGTACTTGCAGCTGTGAACACCCAAGGTCAAGCAGCAGCAAGACCGAGTCAGACAAGAAAAAACCCTTCTCCACAAGAGTGCGCCATCCAAGGTTCTCAAGTTCATCACTATCAAGGCCATGATGCTCGGATCAGCCATGCCTATCATGGAGGACAGCTTTGACCCTTACTACGCTCAGCCTGAGCGGAAACTCACCAGCCACAAGTTGCTGAGTCCAGGCGCAGGTCAAGAAGGACATAGAAGGACTTTCATGGAGCTGCGGGGAAAAGTTGGGTGCCACAAAAACAGTCTATAACAACTGTAAATAGAGCTTCTGAAGGATGGCCAAGGGCATTGTCGAATGACAATGCATGTCATATTCTACCGGCATTGATAAGTTTGGGGGCAGTTTGTGCTTTTACTGGCTATCACCTATCTATCATTTCCTTTGCGGCATCAGTTGCGCCTTTTCAACCGTGAACTGCACAGGAATTGACTTCGTCCTTGCCAGTGACGATCCTGATTGCATTGGGTTGTAGCGTAGATGGGTTAATGATGGTTAACAGCTGATCATCTTGGGTGAACTGCAGGCCCTTCGCAGGCAGCAGCCTGATCAGCCATGCTAATGCACATACTTGGATCTTGGGTGATGCCACGCATCATGTGGCAGCACGACCCACTGCACACCGCGCAAACTTCACTGCTGGACACTTGTGGCATAGGATCCAAGTTGGACGGGCAAAGATCACCTGTCCCGAGCAAAGCCCAAAAGAGGCGACGGATGAAATGCTTTAAAGAGATGAGGTCAGCAATGGTCAGCGGTTCCTGTTTGTGTTGGCAGGAGGGCTTGACATCGTACTTGTTTGTATGTGTTGTATCATGTATGCACCTGCACCGACACACCGACCATAGACTAATCCTCGAACCCGTCGGTGCATCGATGTTTGGCAAATTGGAGATAACATGTGTATATTTATATACTGTATATATAGCTGTATAATATATGTATATATATATATGTATCTATATACACATACCGATATAGATACATATATATACTATATTAGGGTGTTTTTTTCAGGCTCCCTTTAACAGAGCCATAGTTTTGTTTACGCTTTCTTTTTTGGACCGGCTCCCCTGCTTTGAGGCCAGTGGGCTCCGAAAGCGATGTGAAGAGCCCGGACGCCGAGAAAGCATGCCTTTGTGAATTGATCGCACGTGCAGAATATGAGAATTTGTACCTTGTTACTAGTAGCTTCTTGTTATATACTAGTAGTTTGGCCAGGAGCTACTAGTAGGATTCATCATGCCTTTTCCTTCGTAGCCTTGAACCAGTGATGGTTTGGCCTCAAGTCGCATTCGCCAGGACACAGGCCTGAACCATCTCGGCCCCCCATCTTAAAGGTAAATTCTCAAATTGCTTTAATAATTGGAGGTTCCCCATTACGAAGTCATAGAATCGAGCCACTGATCTTTCATCAGAGCGCTGGCTGCGTGTGATTTCAACACCTGTAGCACTTGGCTCAGTTTTTTCCCAATCCATTCAGTGGAAGGCCCAGCGAACAAGGCATTGAGCGACAGCTGCTATACTTTCGTTCTTGATTTGCTTGGGCTTCCATGCCACGCCAGTTGTTCTGGCGATGGAAAGTAAAGCAGTCATGGCCTGCGCAGTGCATCTAAGAGACAAGGGTATCCAGGCAGATTCTGTTGAGGCCCAAATGTGAACCACCTTGCACAAGCTTTGGCCTTGTTATACACGCGGACTGAAAATAGAATGAGGACAAGGGTTTTTTGAGTGGCGAGCAATACGGGACCCGGGCAGGAATTGACCGTCATTCTGTGTCGGGCCTCATTCTTTTTTGACACTTAGAATGCTGGGCGCTTAGAATGCCAGCCAAACATCTATGGAAAGATGTTTGTTTCCTGCAAATTCTGCAGGTTTGTGGTGAATTCACCCGGGAGACCCCGGGTAAACTCAAGTTAGAATGGGGCACAACTGATGTGACAGCTGTGTTTAAACGGTTTTTTAAAGGAAACGGGACAAGACCTCAGATTTCTAAAGATTCCCCGAAAGTGGTAGAAGTCTTGGATTTCAAGGTTTTGGTCATTTTGGGCACTACTTTTCAAAGGTTTTGAAGGAAACGGGACAAGACCTCAGATTCCTAAGATTTTTCCCGAAAGTGGGAGAAGTGTTGGTTTTCAAGGTTTTGGTCATCTTTGGCACTACTTTTCAAAGGTTTTTTGAAGGAAACGGGACAAGACCTCAGATTCCTAAGATTCCCCGAAAGTGGTAGAAGTCTTGGTTTTCAAGGTATTGATCATTTTTGGCACTATATACTGTTAAAAGGTTTTTTAAAGGAAACAGGACAAGACCTCAGATTCCTAAGATTCCCCGAAAGTGGTAGAAGTCTTGGTTTTGCAAGGTTTTGGTCATTTTTGGCACTACTTTTGAAAGGTTTTTTAAAGGCCTTTGGCAAGGCAGGCCCGTAGCTGCAAACAATAGAAGCATCGAAGTGACTAGCTTGGATATGCTTAGATGGCCTTTGCATATTCTCCCAGGGCTGATTCAAAAGGAACCCTGACCAGAACAACAGAAACCAGGAGGCAACTGCTTTCACTCCAGTAATTGCTTCACTCCTGCAGGGGGAATGCGGTTCGCGGGTTTGAGAAGCCGTCACTAAAACCCTTTGGAAAAAAGAAGTCCATTGGCGCGCGTAGACATGTCAAGCTCTCCCTGTTTGCAGATGGCAGCCTTTGTGGCGCCCCTTGCAGCCCCAGCTGGGCGGCTAATCCAATCGCAGCCTATAAGAGCGCCCGTCAACGGACAAACACCCAATGCACCTGCGAGGCAGGAGGGCAGCAGGTCAAAATGACATGGGCATTCTTACTCTCTCGGCTCAGACTTCAAAGATTTGCAAGCTTAGGCGGCCTTTACCCACAAAGAATTGAAAGGAGGAGTGTTAGTGTTGCCAGTTTTACGATGATATGTACTGGATACGGGTGACTTTAGGACTTCCTGAACATATGGCAAGTTCACAACGCCTATCTCATGTGTACACAGCTGTTGTGCACCATGTGGGTGTGTGCGAGTCCCATCTCATCAGTTTGCGATGCTGTTTTGGCAAGCATGGCAATAGCTTCAAATAAGCATTGCGGACCTAAATTTTGCTGGCATTTGTCGGTGTGCAGCACATGAGATAGGAGTTACAGAGACACGGGCACTTTCTGGCCACCACATGAGGTAGGAATGGATCCTTTTTTTTGTGGTTCGCTTTCCTAACCACATTTTGTTGATGATGTCAAACATTTACGTTCTGAAGATTTGTTAGTAAAGTTAAGTCTTGCGAGTTTTTTCTCCATGGGTTTCTTGGCAGTTTCTGAACCCATGAGGTGGGAGTGTGTATGCAATATTGCTATCACAACGACTTTATCATTTGCTTTGGCGTCATGTGATTTTTTGTATGATTGCTTGACAGAGACATGACTTAGAACCTAAGTCAGATGTCTGTGTGACTTACGACTAAGCCCCTGGTAGAGCCTAACTTTCTCGACAAAGCCTAACTCAACCTAACCTATACAATATATATAATATATAATAGTGTATATATATAAGTATAATTAACATAACATCACAGTAGCCAACTCAAGTTTAGTCGAATCATTTCGTTTCACATTTTAACCGTCATTGGCTAAGTCATTGTCTCGGACAAATACCCCGGCTGGATGTTTGTTGGGATGTCAGCACATTAGGGCCAGTTTGACAATCTCCGCCTTTCAGGCATGCCGTCTCCAGTGGCCTGGGCGTTGCTTTGATCAGTGCCCTGCGATGGCGAGGCCAGACTGCAAGAAGATCCATACGTTTGAGATCGTTTGAGATTCTGGCCATAACCATGGCTCAAGAATAGGGTACCGTTACTGTAGATCTTATTCAACCGGGATTTGGAGAACCCTTGTCTAGTCTTTTGGGGTAGATGAAGGTTGAATTTGCAAGACACGTGGCACGCTGCAGGGCGATGTCAATCATCGAGGAAGCAAAGGGTGCAACGTTGGAGCGGCTTGGCTTCCGGCCAATTAGTGTTCACCAGCAGGTGTTGGGTAGCATGCCTATCTTCAAGGCGTTTGAAAGAGTTAGCAGTAGCTGTTGGATCGTAGTCCAAGACCTACCACGACCATCCACGACCTACAAACCTGGTAACCTGTCTCGCCATTATTACATAAATTGATCTGAATGATAATGAATGCATGTTGGTGATCCAGACTGTGCCAGACACCATTGCCAGAACTCGTTGTAGAAATCCAACTGCGGCACGTGAGCATCAAAGAGCGAAATGTTGGAGATGATTGTCGTTATGTGGCTAGCACATCGCTAGCAGATTGGAGGCCATTGCTAGTAGGTTTGAGGCCATTGCTATTAATTAGGTTGGAGGCCATCGCTAGTAGAAGTGCGTTTTCGTTGGGTCACCCTTGGCAAGGCAAAGAGAAAAGCAGTGGGGAAATCGCTGCGCCTAGCTATCCTGGCGTGGAAGACCCAAAGCTCTTCGGCGGCAGGATAGTTCCCATACATCGCAAGTGGCAGAATGAACTGAGTGAACTATTGGAACCTCAGAAACCAGTTTTCCGCTTAGCCTAAGATCATGATGTTTCCTTTGGTGAATGCGGGTCATGTTAGCAGTGCTTGGAAGCCAAATTCTGAAAGCTGATTCCTAAATTTAGCCACTGATCAAGCACATTTGCAGCTAGGAAGTTGCTTAGCTTTGCCCACGAGCTGTGCGACTTCTTCCGCAGCTCAAGCCACTCGACGAACAGCGCTGCAGGGCCTTCGCGTCTTTAGCCTCTCCAAACATTTTATGTGTTCGCCCGGCATTTGGGCCAAGTTGGCCGTAACTGCCATTCATCACGCGCTTTATTGCACTTTGGTTGCGTAGTGCCGACCAAAGAACTGAAAGATCATTCACCATAGCTACGTTCCTTGCCAACATCTGCTTTGAGCGAGCAGCGCTGCCTGATCATACCATTTGAGGTCGGGCCAGGCTTCCCAAGGAAGATGCCATGAAATTGCTGCTAGATGCACAGAGGCGGGACCACATTGCGACAGGATTCTTCATGAATTTAGCAAGCGGGGTCCCTTCAGAAGCCTTTCTCATCGACCCTGGGAAAATTGTGGGGAGCTTTGCTTGCACTCTTTGGCGAGTCCAATTTTGGTCTTCCTGGACTTCCGATTTTGCAGGATGCTGATGCAAGAGGAGACGCTCGTTCGAGTTCAGGCTTGGACAAGTAGGGTTTTCCGCTGTGACCGCTTGCGGAGCAGGTCCGGTTGCCTTAGTGCAGCCACAGAATCACAATATGCTAGATGCTTGTGTATGGACTCTATGAAGGTGTTGTTCTGTATCAGCCACTGGGCCAGCCTACCCAGCCACTCAAGTCCAGAGTCCAGACATATTTACCTCACGGCTGCGTCATCAGATCGAGTTTGTGCTGTTTAGCCGGACCTTGCGGTGCCCCTTAAATTGGGGGTCTTTGGACCTGAATCCGCGAGAATTCCTAGCCCCATCCTTCATATCAGGCTCTCATGCTGGTCTTTCACATCCATGGAGTGCTAACTTTGTTGGCTTCATGTTCTGTTTCCCCCCAAACCAACTCCGCCCCGACAGCGGCAGGTGCCCGTCGGGGAATACCTCAACGTCGTCGGCGACGTCCATGGACAGCTTTTTGACTTCCTAAGCTGCTCGGAAGGCCTCCAATTCAGCAACGTCCAGATTCGGAATAAGCAGCATCCAGACACCTCATGTTGGTTTTGGTTTACGTACTACAGTAAGTGCCATGTGAGTTGTACTGTCGTCGACGCCCAGGTTGGCAATCATAAGGCACATCTTCCGCCCATAGGGTACATTTTCCTCCCACAACCTGAGCAGATTGGGCATACTTAGCAAGGTTGACCTCGGGGCAAGCGCTCAAGAGCTATTTGAATCTTGCAGCCGATGTTCGTGATGTGCCACTGCAAAAATCATCAAACATTCTGGGTAATTACTGTCGTTCGGGTTTTGTGGCTATGTGTGGCTCCATTGAGGGGCTTGGCTTTGAAGTTTTGTGGGGGCGATCCAAAGTGTTTTCTTGCACTTGAGGCATTTTTGAAGCAAATGGATGGCCAAGTGAAGAGAACCCGTTTCTCTTCAACGGTGACTTTGTAGACCGTGGGTGCCACGGCTGTCAAGGTTGTTCGGTTGGCTCTTGTGGGGCTGCAAGAGGGATGATAGTGCAGGTGTGAGCCAAGAGCTTGTGTCGTCGACACGAGGTGTCCAAGTGCTGACATGTGTTTGGGCCGTTCAGTATGTGCCGATAGGTCGAGTGCCCAAGGCCGCTGCTGTTCTTTTGCGAAATGACATGACATGCAATCCACCAAACCAAGGTCATACTCCGTAGAAATCATGCTGATTCTATTGGCATTCAAGTTGGCCTTGCCCAAGCACTTCTTTCTGGGGCGAGGCAACCACGAGGCGGCGGGAAATTGAGGCGTACTGCGATTTGGGGTTACGGCCACATTGTGCTCATCGGTCCTTCACCAGGACCAGCAGATGAACTATTACTATGGCTTCACAGGAGAGGTCTTAGCAAAGCCGGCTGCTGAGAAGGAAGTCTGTTTGTGCATTTGATCTCAGGTTGACGGGAAACCGTGAATTACCATTGTGCTGAGGACTGTAGGAATGGTTGATGATGGTTGATCAATAGAAGGCATTCAGAAATCTGTCAACCGAGGGCATTGCGAGGCTTGTTCGGGCTATTGCTCCAAAGCTTTGTGGGCACACCGAGCCTCTTAAGGTATGACGCCGAGTTGCCAGTGTGGGCCGCCTTTCAGAGATCCTTCGTGCCACTTGGACTCCCTACACTGTCGGTCCTTTTTCGAGCCGAAGACGTCTCCCCGAGGGCCTTGCCACTGGCACATGTGGTGAACGAAGATGTCTTCGTGACTCATGGAGGTCTTCCGAGGAGAGCCTGAAAAAAGCGGCGGCATCTAGCTGCAGCTTTGCATCACGTTTCATCAATGGTTTCTTTCACGCTATGCCCAAGTAAGTGGAAGTTTGTACGGCGGATGTATACTGTGCATGCGACGTGTGCAATCCCATTGGCATAGATAGAAAGCAAGACCATTTTTTCCCATTCCCATTCTATCATATTCTATTTACTGCAACTACTCCATGATGATGCTAATGATATATCCAATATAATCTAATGATGATGATGCTTACTAACATACACGTTCCAAAATTATGTAATGTACACTGTAAACTGTATGTTGGTTTTTTTTGCTTGTTTGGTTTGTTTGTCATTAATATTTATTTGTCCTGTCTATATATCGGTTTGTTGAAGAAGCTTCCGCTGGCCTGGGCCTGGGCCCAGCCACAGGATCAACGAGATCAGTTTGGATCAGATTGCAGCCTTGGACCGAGTTCAGGCATCCTTGGTGGGCACATGGGGGGGTCAAGAACGGTGCCATGGTGATCCAAACCGGGTCAATTTGGTTGGGACAGTCGAATCAGAGGTGGTTGGAAGTTAGGTCCAATGCAACATTGATTGGAACTGTTGCTTTAAGCTGTTTTTGACCCTGAACTCGAAGGCGCATGAGCAGATTTCAACAGATCTCATAGGCTACGTCCGCAATGAGGGCTGTGGCATGTACGATAGCCTGTTCATGCTAAAGAAACATTGAGAAACATAAATTAGGAATCGGGAACTCATTGGATCTCAATGATAAAATCGAACAGTAGCAAACCGTGATGTTTCCATATGTGTCCTATCTTCTAACTTGAAGGGCAATCAATGTCAGGAGTTCTTTTGTGACTCGTGGTCTCCTGGCTTTTTCCAGGTAAGTACAGAGCAAGAAGTGCGAGAAGAAGGTGTGATTTACAATGATCTCATGTGGCCTGGAGATAGTCATTCAACACACACGTGACTTGTGTGCCATGTCTGCCACTGTGTACATGTGCGTTCATCCCTGGAAAACTGTTCGGCAATCTTGCCTCACCTCCCAGGTGGGCGGATCCACATGATGGCTCTGGCAGCATCGGAAGCCAGCGCGGCGGCAGTGCCAAGATGTTTGGTGCAGACATGACTGAGCAATTCCTGAAGAGGCCTTATTGGGTGGCCTCAAGTGATGTCCTCCCATGTAGCGGACCATTCTCTCCCATGTTGTCCAGTCAATGTTTGAGTTAAGACATTTAAGATGAGTTACTGTAAGTGCTTGAAATGTCGACATGTGGCGGGAAGCCCAGACAGGGCAGCTTCTATTGGAATAGCAATGACGTATGATAAGAACAGCCGACAAGTGATGCCCGAAGCTTGTGGTGTTCGTGAATGGTAATGAGACAAATGGTTCATGCGACTCTGTGGTAATTATTGGTAACTACTTCTTTATATTTTCTTTGTCGTCACTTCGAATCGGCTTTTTGGGCATTGGCATCACGGACAGTCCCTTCCCTGGTAGGAACGATCTCAGCTTCATCATTCGGTCGCACGAAGTCAAGGAGCTTTTGCCTAGCTTGCCGGGGTGCTGAAGAGAGAAGAAAATAGAATTCCCAAGAGTTGATAGCAGAGTTCTTCAAGCTGCTTTCGCAAGATGGGGCAAGAAAGTAAGCAGGTTCTAAAGGCTTCCGAGGCTTCTCAGATCACAAGACAGCAGGCCGGGTGAGGGTATCTAGCGATTACTGTAGATGATGTGTCTTGTTTTTGGCCCCTGTTTGACTTGGCACATTGGCTGAAGGATGAAGGCTTCGAATGGCAGCAAAATGAGAAGTGTCTCACAGTGTTCTCTGCACCACAATACTGCCACTCGGAGTAGGAGATGAATTGGCAATGCAATCATTGCTAGCTTCGGCTACAGTAGAGTTTTTTCATGTTATTTCTATTTTTTTGATCTATTCGTTGCTTTCCTGACTTTGAAGGTTCTGTTAAGCACACGCCTTTGTGAGTTGTTTCTTATGCTGGAGAAGCGTTGACAAGCTTCAAACACCGATGTTTCGGCAGAGTAGATGCATGTTTGTTGTTTTTCTTTGAAACGACTTCAGGGCACGATGCATAATGGCGTTGCACCTGCACTCGAGGCGATAGTTGTAACAACCTGGGAGCCGTTGTGCGATTGCACGCGGACGAGGCAGATGAAGGCGGCTGTGTGCTCCGCTCCGTTTTGTTGGATGTCTTGTCTTCTCTATAGATCTATGTGTTGCATTGTGTTGGTAGGTTATTTTTGCGGATACAGGAACAACCAGGAAGCAGCACTTTGACAAAGAAGGGTGATACGGTGATACAGTGATATGCGAGGTGCTAGCTATGCAGGTGTCCAGACCAGCGATTGTTTTGGGAACACTTTTGGAGCTATAAGTGGCTGACCTGTTGAGCCCATCGTTCGCACAAACATGAGATGTTGAAAGAAGGCACGACTTTAAGCCGGTCTCACAAGGCATTGTAGTGTGGAACACTGCAAGCGAGCAGTGGCACGGTACGCGGCTACAGCCCAAGCACGGGCCAACCCGGTGACTAGACGCCCAACAGAATGCAGGGTGAAGATGCAACCATCCACGTCAGCCAGAGCCCCTAGTAGCGTCCTTGCTCCTAGTAGCGATGCCAGGAGCCCCTAGTAGCGTCCTTCCTCGTATGGCCTGCGGCCTCCAGGTGCAAAATTGCGGCCGGAGATTTTACAGTTCGATGCCGCCGAAAAGCCCAAGGAACGGCGCGAGTGGAGCCAGACGATCTTGGTGTTTTGGGAGGTACATGGCCCATGTGGCACACCAAATAGGATCAAAACAACATAAGAATGCTTGGCTGTGGTTGATGTTTATGACTAATGACGTGAATACTTGTGACACCTTGTGACAATTCATGACCATTCAGCCCCATGTAGGACTACGTCTCCGCCATGGCATACTGCAGACTATCGGAGTCGAAGCTCAGTTGCAGAATGTGCAGAATGTGTTGCGAAAATTATTCGATGTGTTGTGTTTATTCCAGATCTTTTAAGGAATGAGCTAGGAGGTTTCACGAGAGAAGGGTATCAGAAAATTGTGATTGTGGAGCCTTCATATGCGTTTTCCAAGTGTGAAATTGGATTCAAGGTTGCCATACATACTAAATTTAAACGATTGGACACTTAAAACGCATATTGACTGAAGTTGTAATGTTTGAGGTGTTCAAAGTCATGGTGATGGAACTTCATGAAATCACAAGGAGTGATGGACCGTGCAAATTCCAATCAACAAGAACATAGGGACACAAGTGACACAAACAAAGTCCTATTCTACAACTCTTCATTCTTCTGAGATTTTTCTTCTGTGATCTGCCATCTGCAGAAATTACTGTTGTCAGAATGTCAGAAGCTCACTAAGAGACACCAGTAACACTGTGAGATTAGGGGTCCAGTCCCTTTTATGTGGTCCAAAAATGCATGCGCAAACAGATGCACCACCTTCATATGTGTAAATATCTTTGAATTATACATCAATTGAGATACATTTAAAAAAACACATATTGCAGATTCCGCCCAGGGAGGTATCAGAATTTTCTGACGATCATCAGAATTTTCTGACGATCCTCAGAATTTTCTGACGATCATCAGAATTTTCTGACGATCATCAGAATTTTCTGGCGATCATCAGAATTTTCTGATGATCATCAGAATATTCTGGCGATAATAAGAATCTTCTGACGATCATCAGAATTTTCTGACGATCATCAGAATTTTCTGACGATCATCAGATTTGTTTGATGATCATCAGAATTTTCTGACGATCATCAGAATTTTTCATAATATTCCCAGATTCATCATAATATTCTGAGCACCCATAAGCGTAAAAACACAATCTTGTAAAAATAAGGTGTTTCATGAACGCATATTGGCTTACCCAACTATCAATATATATATGCTGTGACGCTTCCAGAGCTATTTCGCATGCCCTCACGAAACTCCATAGAATGAGCAGTGCATTTCCAAATGTCTTGTTTGTGAAACTGCATTCAGTGTTCATATATATATAGAGAGAGAGAGTTATATATATATAGTTATATATATATTTAGGCACCTTTACTTGCTTGGGAGCTTTGCACGTCAAAACCTGTGTTTCCTGATTCTTCCCTCGCTTCTAGTATTTTGTTGCCAAGGCTTATGTCCAAAGCTTTGGAGAAGCAGCGTAAGTCGCAGATGGCGGAGTCAGGGTGGGGGTCTTCTTGAGCAAGATAAACGTCAAAGCTCTACTCTACTTAGAACTTATAGTATATTGTTTATATTGTTTGAACATCACACACCCAATTCAAGCGGCCCCCAAAGCCTGCCCTACTGTGGCATTATGCCTTATATGTTGTCAGGCTGCGGTTTCGGTATGGGTACAGAGCCTGCAAGAAGCACAGCAGAAAATAGCTGTGCCGAGCTTGAGTGTGACAGATGATCGCTTTTCAACATCTACCTGAATGGCTACAATGCTGTTGATGAAAGCGAAGGATTGCCAAGCTGCAGGCGTTCTGCGGAGGTGTTTGAGGCTGGCAAGGCTGTCAGCATCACCGACTGTTCTCAAGGCGATCACCGGAAAATGTCGGACCGAAAGCGGGAAGCGCAGCATCACTGCGTGCAGTGATGGCGCAGATACGGGGCACAGACGTAGGGTCGATGGTCGGATTCTCTCAGCTCCAAAAGGTGAGGTTCTCTCAGCTGTTTGCCAACATGTTCAATGTTCGTCTTGCGGGAGAGGAGCAAGATGGAGCAACCCTCTCAGAACTTGCTAAAGGCCAAACTCTTTCTTGCCGGCCGGCCTGGAGTGTAGAAGAAGCTCAGGTTGCACCTCCCCATCGACAAGCTGGGTACGTTCGCTGCAGCTCCCTTGCTTGCTGAGTGCGTCCGATCCCTAGACAAATGCGGGATGATGACTTCGCCTGTCGACCTTTCTGAAAAGATTGGAATTTCTGGGATCATACTGTCGGCTTTGACGTTCTTTGTGCGACTTAATAAGTGTGTTTCTTGCCCAAGTGTATCCAAACATTTCCTACCACCGAGGAAGATAGCCTTTTGCACACCTTTTGTACAGACAAAGAACGTTGCAAGGAACGTCTCAGCAACCTTTCACTGCCAGAATTGCAGTTGGAGCGTGAACCTCAGGGGTGCCGGTGTGTTTCTTACACAGGCGACACTGCCTGGAGGCCTGTGTTCACCTTAGTAGCCGATGTAGTCATAGTCTTGCGAGATGGGCATGGACAATACATAAGTTCTATAGCGCATCAACATAGGGTCAACGTGTTTGAGAGGTTGATTTGTGGGTGTGTTTTGGGTAAGATTGTGTGAACTGGCCATGCTACAACCAAATGTGCAAAACTTTTTAGAGTGTGCTTGGAGGATCACCTACTGTAATTACAACCGATTACAACTAAATACTGATACTTATATTCAGCCCATGTGGTGGCTGAGTTGGTGCAGAAGCCCCTTCCATCCATGAGAATCGTTTCTGCTGCGCTTTTTTTCCAAGCACCACTAGCCCGTTGAGGTGGCGGCAAAGCTGCGCTTGTGAAGAGCCACGGGGTTGGGAGACTAAGTGGAGACCAGAGACGAGGAAAGTCACACGCGGTCTCATCACGAAACCCACGGGGTTGGCAGACTAACAGCTCAACATCTTGCTAACAGCTCTTAGGTGACATCGTTGAGAAGAAGGGCCAGCTCATCGATAGGCAGAGCGAAATGAGCGGAGTGATCACTGGGATTTACCATGGTTTGTTTACAGTCAACCGTGCTGCCCGTGGCCATGCGGGCAATTGCGGGCCGAGGGCCTGGTATCTATGCCCAGAAGTGTGGGAGATAGCCAAGTTTGATTTTGTGCGTCCTGCAATTGGCTTCCAGGTTGAAGCAGCTCGCGATTTGGCGCGCGAGATGCCTATGACCATCCTCAGATTTGGTATTGTTCTGTGAGCGGGGTGGTGCATGACGAGTTTGCATGAGCCGTGCCATCAAGCTGCTTGTGGTCGAGAAGGTTATAAGGCTTGGGCACCTTTAGAAGAATCAGCAGTTTTCCCGAACAACTTGACACGCAGGGTATGGGTCGTCCCAATGGTTCTCAATATATTCTTTCGGCACAGCCACAAGAGTGTAGATAATGCCAGTGACATGGAGTGAATATAGGTGAAAATGATGATGAGTCATATTGAGTCCTCCGCAGCTGGAGTTGGCTGGGGCACTTCTGACGGTATCAGCCAGCATTTGGGGGGCGAATCCTTCAGCCAATTCGGCCCAACTAACGAAGCCGCTCCCGGCCAAAAGTGCGGCCGCGGGGCGAAGGCGGGCTGACAGAGCTCGTTCCGCGAGCGTTGGCTAGGCTGTTTCAGTGTATTGGAGATCATTGTTCCTAGTAGTAAGGCCAGGAGCCCCTAGTAGCGTCCTTGCTCCTCTCTCAGGATCAATCACAAGAGGGTGTGGGTTTGGGTGCGTGGGGTCAGGCAGGATAGCAAAACTGAGGTTGCGATGCGTGCCTTTCCATGTGCTGTGCTGGCCATCCTCACTGTTGTGGATGCTCGCACTGAGGCCCTAGACACAGTCGAATCCTTGCTTTCTTTTAACACTATACTCTCATTGGTCTCTTGGTGGTTGTCTTGCCAGATAGGAGCTCTCACTTTTCGAGCAACGGAACTCTTGTTTGAGTTGCTTCGGTTTACTCTTCAGGTGGCAGAGAACGCCTCATCTTTGCTTGCCGTGCACTTGGCAGCGGGCGCAGACTCAGAGTGCTCAGACACCTCAACTGCTTCTTGAATGAGCAAGGGCTCCTCACGTTGGCCACGAGAGAGAGGGGGAAGCGAGAGAGAGAGAGAGAGCGAGAGCGAGAGCGAGAGAGAGAGAGAGAGAGAACAAAAAAAGTAAGCAGTGAGAAGCAGTGAGTGGTCCGCGAAAGCTCAGCATGACATATTTTTCCACTTTGTAGCATGAAGTAGATCACAAGAAATCACATCACCCTCAACCTGATGCAATCCTCAGGTTTCTCGAGCTACATGCTTGAGCAAAGGAAAGTGCAGCTCGTCTCACAAAGACATTAGTCTCATTGCGCGGATTCCCATAAATCACCTGCACATTGCTGGCTGCACCTCCAGACAGACTCATGTTCCAGATTTGTTCGTTGCCGTTGCCCATTTGCCACGTAGTTCTGGGCTCCTTTGGACACCTCGGCCAGGCATGTTCCTCGAACTCGACCAGCAAAATCTTTGCCTCCCCTGCGAGTGGAGTGGTATGCCTTTGCCATGTGTCCCTCGGAAACCCGGCAGCTAAACATTTGAACATATCTTGAGCCACCTTACCGTAAGCGCCTAAACATGCAATAAGACGCATATGTTGCAAGAGGGCCAGTGGATCCAGTTCGTGCGCAAAGCATGCCATGATGCCATGATGTGCTTTCGAATATGCCTGTAGTGCTAAGTCATCCCGGTGCGCATCTTTGACTTTCCACCCTCGGTGCCGTCGGTGCCCAGGAATGCAGCTTACCCACAAGGACGGGTGGAGAGCTGCGAGATGAGCCTTTCAGCGGCATACATGAACTGGTCCAGCAGATCGCATGTTGACATGTGAAGAACCTTCGTGATTCCGGTGCTTTGGAGAACATGTTATCTATGCACCCACCCAAGGGGAGCATGAGCTTCATGAGCCTTCAGCCTTCAGGTTCTGAGTCTTGTGTTGCGAATGGAGGGTCGCTTGAAAAGTGTCAAGGCAACAAATTATTGGGTCCCAAAAGGATGAGTTGACAGAACGAATCGAGCACCTTTGAGTAGTTCCATGATGTTCCATGATGTTCCATGTGCAATTTTTCAATTGTAGACACGGCCGACGTGTGGGATGCAGGTGTGATTTCGGCTTTGGTGGTTGCTGAGGCTGCGAGCACCAACAAATGGTCTCAAAGCTGTCAGACTGCACAGATGTCAGTGGTGAGATCCGAATGGATGACTGTGGCTTGGCCAAAAAGAGGGGCAGGACAGCTCTGGAGAGAGGCCGATACAGTTACAGGGATTTTGAGCTGCATGTGTTGTTTAGATACCCGTTTGTCACAACATGTCACGACCTTTGGTTTCCTCAATGGCATGCCGCTAAGTCAAGTGGAAAGAACAAGCTGCCAGAGAGATGAGACATTGAAACCTGACTGGCGCTAAGGTGTGGCAAAGGGCAAAAGTGCTGGGGTCTCTTGCATGTGGACCTCGTACATGCGAAAGGAGAGAAGGGGTAATCATGGCTAGCAGTTTTGGATTGACTTTGTGTCTCTCCAACCCGCTGATGCGTTGAGTGCGCCCTTCAAGTCAATAGTCAATGGTTCATGTCATATTCAACATCTAGATAAACTTATACAGTATAAGTATCTACAGATCTTCCTGGAACGAGAAGCCCAGCGAATAACCCTTGGGCCGCTCAAGCTCAACCTCGCCTTGCAAGCTGCTTTGTGAAGCAGGATGGCAGCCGCAGTAGCATGTGTGGCCCATGCAAGGCCTGACACGGCGTTTTGCCATCGTTTTGAAAGTCTCGAAGCGTCAAGCGAGTTGTGAAGCAGATGTCCCACCACCCACTGCACCAGGGGGGCCTTGGCGGACCAGGGGGGGCGAGCGGCTTTTCGACGTTCAAAACTCGGCATCTAGACTAAAATAAGAACAGGATCAAAACAACAAACAGCATCAACAACAAAATAATCCTGAGATATCCTGAGTAGGCCCCCTAGTCCATTGGTCCCCTGCTCTCCTCGTCTCCTGCTGCCCTGGTCCTTTGGTCCTTGTCCCTGGTCCGCTGGCTTCGTGGTCCATTGGTCAAAATGCGCGAGGTGTACGAAACTAATCATATTTGCGAATTTGGCGCGACCTTTGCAAAACAAACATGCTGGTGGCTTCTGATGTTTGGTTCGCTCTGGGGCTTCTGACCTTTGCGAATTAGGCGCTCTGCCCTCCCACCCGACCCCCATGCGGCGCCACGAAATCTACGCCGCGTTTGCCAATGCACTGCGCCTGCCACAAGATTTTTTCAAGCTGCCCCATTGAATCTCCACACCACCAAATATTGCATGCCCTCACATAAGTTTTTTGGATTATATATGTTTTGCAAATTGCAAACGTCATTTCATTTCAGAGACAGTTTCGAGCCCCTTTTGCGACAGACCCAATTCCTCCAATATCTTAGATACATAATATATGTAATATACATAATATTAACTTATTTGAAGCAACTTTGAACCACTCTAAAACCATTGAAAACCACTCTAAACGTATCTAAACAACTCTAAACTACTCTAAAACTAATCGATGCAAAAAAAAAAACACAAAAAACTACCCTAAGACTATCTAAGATTTAGAGGGAAGCTGTCAAAGCTGTTTGTGCTTAGGAGTGCATCGCAATTGAAATAGTACTACAGACTCCCAACAAACTGATCATGGTGCTGCCAACTGAATGTCAGCCCAACGATTTGACTCTAAACAACTCTAAAACATTCTAAAACTTTAGAGCGGGAGTATTTGGAAGCGGGTTTGTGGCCTTGTTTTGCTTGTGGGGAGCACTATCCAGCCACTAGCCAGCACCAACTCTAAACAACTCTAAGATTTTAGAGTCCAACTGTAAATTACTGTATGATTTTAGAAAATTGATGGAAGTTCAACATTAAAAACCACTCGAAGAAACCCAGCGCTACTGAGTTTCCTTTCCCACAGGTGTGTTTCCCATTCGAGATCCCTTTCCACGGTTCATTCCCTCTAAAATTCTAGAGAGGTTTAGATGAACTGGGTCTGTGGGAAAGGGGGCCCTGTGGGTGATAGAGCTGACCTTTGCCGTGTCCAACGTGTTTTCTTTATGTGTCTATCCTTTTGTTCTCTTTATGTTTTTTGTGTTTTGGTTTGCTCTGCGGGGGCCTGATCCTTTGTCGCCCTGCTGTTGTCCTTTCCCGGGTTTCTATTCCTTTCACTGCTCACTGGTTTTATGTGTTTTTGATCATTGATGCCTGCGAATGCTGCCATTCTTACGAGAAAAGAGCTCCAAGCGCAGCTGTTCAGGTGGATGGTTTGGGCGTGGTGGGTCGCAGTGCGCCTGGCAGCTATGGTCCAGAGCCGGGGAGTGTGGTAGAAGCGAGTGCCATGGCGGCCTTGTGGGCGAAAGACTGGTATGCTGAGCTTCGTAATTAGTTTTGAGCAGATTCGCCAAGATGGGATGATGGATGATGGAGATTACGGCTCTTTTGTGAAGAGGGTTGGGGCCGTCGAAAAGTCACCCAGGCTTCTCACAGTGTGATGCACAACAGCTGGAAGCCGCCAAGCCTTGCGTGGATCCTTCCAAGTGCCCCAAGGCCAGACTCGAAGACGTGTAGGGGCCCTCCGGAGCCATTGATGAGCCCCAAAGAGTAAATGAATCGGATCCCTGAAACCATTCGTCGCTTTTGCATTCTGCATGTGGCACATGTTTGCACTTTGTGAGTTTGCTGGTCGATGTGTCTTTGGCTTTGCGGATGGTGTTCGAAGGCCAAAACGCCCGCAGTTTGACGCCAGGCACTTCCCGCCCTTCCGCCACAAGCTGGCGACACCCCGGTGCCACTCTCTGATCTCACCCGCCTGGGCCTGAACACCACCGAAGATGCACCCATGTACTATGCAGCACCTGTCTCACCACCCTACGGCAAAGAGGAGATCAGGGCGAAGAATTTGATGGTTTGGGTATCTTTGGTTGAGAAAGGATCCTTGGGCTTAGTAGAATGGATCTTTGCCAAACGGCGTGTAATGACATGTAACACATGACATAATGAATCACAATGTCGTCACAATGTGTTGTCTCACTTTTGCCTTGGTATTTGCCTCACAGCAACGGTTCCGGAGTTATGCATTTATATACTTGTTGTATTCGTGTTACAGTAGTTAAGAATGCTGGGCCCCGGCGTTTTACAAACTGACTGTTGCACAAGCCCCGTCCCAGCAATAAATACCCGCAACGGGTCTGCCAGGAGTACCTGGCGGCTGCGCAAGCTGCTTCCAAGGCCGCTGGCTGGGAAGCTCCAGAGGATCTGAAGGAGGTGGACATCGCCATCAAACAGCCACCAGATGCTTGGCACGTCTCGCATGGGAGTTGTTTCATGTGTTTCAGGAATCAACCCTCCTACTAGTGGGTCAGCCCAACAGCCTAGTACAGAAGCAAGCCATCAACAAATTTGGTGTTCATTTGTGGGAGCTACGGTGTTGGACAGATTGACTGAAAACGTTCTTCAAAAGATGGGATCCTTTTTCTTTTGTGTGTTGACACTCCAAAATGTTGGTGCTGATTGACCGGACCCAGGCATGTCAGCTCCTTGGTCTCCTGCCATTGCTTCTGCTGTTTCTTGCAGAGGGTCCTTGAATTCTCTTCACTCACGGCCCCTGACATTCACACGTGATCTTTTTCGCCCTGCATGATGTCCAGCGGTGAGAGGATCTGGGGGGTTTCTTTGGAGACTGTGTCGTTGCCCATGCCCAGACCGCACCTGCCGTGCCATCGGATCTGGCTGAGCGGCCAGTGAAGCCATTGCCAGGGCTGTTGTTTCCCATCCCAGCCTTTCAGCCAAGACCCCAGCGATCACGTTGTGTGGCATCATGGGGTCGTTGGAGCACTGGTCAACGGTATGAAGATGTAGGAATTGTCCAAGGACAGACATTGGGAACAAGAATTTGATTTAACGCCCGTTTGATTGCAAAGCTTGCCACATTTAACACAGTCTGTCCGCGTCCATATGACGCATTTGGCTTCTGTCGAAACCGCTTCAGGTCAGCCACAGGAGGTATCTTAGCAGAACCCGGCGAGTCTTTCCGGCCACAAATGCTGGGGTGGCTTGGCTGTGGCAAGTGCCCTCGACCAACAGTGACACATCGATGCCCTATGGTCACCCATAGAGCATCATAAAGCACCTAAAACTAAACCTTTTTTGTGGAACCACACTACGCAAGTGCTGTCTTTTGAGTCCTTCTAGACTGCTCAAAACCCTAAACCCCCTTATGAACCTTCTGACCCGCAGTCCTTCCACTCAGGTCTTTACTCCAAGCCAAGTCCAAGAGGCTGAGACATGGCAGGCTGAGCGCTTCAGGAGCGTGAGGAGGAAAAAGGATCTCCGGCCAAGCGGCCAGATCTCTGAAACTGCGTACTTCATCATACTTAAACACTGGTCTAATGATGTCTAAATGCATTGGCTTGATTGTGTAATTTTATCTTTCGAGATTTTTCGAGCATGTTGAACCCCTTGAGCTGCTCCTTGAGCCAATGGCATTGAGTGGCACTCCTTCCAATCGGTCCGAGCGATGATTTGGAGTTAAGGCCCTTCCCGTCTCAGAGCTGCAGGACCAGTGTGTTCGCCTTAGTTCGGACATATCCGACATCTCCTGCAGCAGGTTAGAGAAAGTTTAAAATAGATAAATAAATATATATATTATATATATATATGTTTTTTTTGGGGGGGGGAGCTTTGATTTGGCTGTTGGCTCTGTTGAATGATCTTAGTCGTGGGTGGGGTGCGTTTTGCCTTTCCTTCTCTCTCAATTGTCTAAGATCCTAGTCATGACAGCCGCGCGGAAACACACGTTTGTCAGACGACAATGGGGTGACTTGAAACTTGCTCCATGGTCCAAGACATGTGTTCAGTGTCTTCAGATGTCTTCAGTGTTGGTGTTCAACATTGTTCAACCACATGACCAGTGAGCTGAAAAACGCTTTTCAGTAGCACTTCAAGGGCCCAGGATGCTCGGAGTGTTGTGGCTCAAGGGCAAATCTCCGCCTTTGCAAGCCCATTGGAAGCCAATTATCGAACCGACTCTTGCCAAAGCAAGCTGATGGACGGTCCAAATTGGCCAGTCGAATGAAATCATCAAGATCCAAGTCCGAAATTCCAATCCCTTGACACCGTGAATCGCCAAAGAATTGCTGCCCAACGACGGCAGTGGCCAATTTATTGATATTCTGCATGCTTCGTGACTTGCCACCTGAGGAACCATGTCCGTAGCCTTGATCGTTCTATGGCATGTCTACTCTGCCACGGCAATGTGTATCGAGGAGGCCGGCAAGCCTAAATCTTTAATCTGGCTCTCACAGGCAAACATTTGTCAAGAGTTGCAAGAATAAGGATGTTGAATCAGACTCAGATTGAATAACTATTTGTTATTTCATCAATGCATAAATATCATAAATCTGAGAGATAAACGATGCGACCCTGTTGATACGTCAGATACGAGTTTCATTGCTTTCGGAGTAATTTAGAATTAATTTAGATTTAGATCCCATAATAAGCCGATTGTTCGTGTTGGAACGCTGCTGGGTTCGTGGTTCCTGGATGGACCCCATCCATGAAACCGACCCACTTTCACTGCATCACCCAAAAGATCCCAAAAGGGGAAGAATCAGGAATTATCCAAGCGGATTGCTTGTCCAAGTATGCCCAACACAGAACAGCGCATATGATTATGCATGTTGTTTGGAAACGGTCTGAACACGACGTTGCATGTTTAAAGGGCCTGGAATTGAGTTCTGTGACTCGAAGAGGTTCAAGAGCTTGACATGAGCTTCCTGCAGACGGCGACGACTGTAAACCTCTCGGAGGTACATGTGATGAAGGACCGAAGATTGACATGGAGCGGTTGTCTTGGTGCATTAAATGTTCCACTATGTTGCCTTTGTGTGTGTGTGTGTTCGCGTGCAGCTCTTGCCACAACTTTGAGAGAACTGGTCAATCTGGGAGGGGTGTTGTTTTTCTCCTTCCTGGCAGGCAAAAAGATGCAGTCTTGCTGATGTGTTCCCAGTGGAATCATTCTCGTATATTGAGAGGCTTTAATATCTTCAATTATGTAAAGAAGAAGAATATACGGTGGTTTGTAGATGGCACAGACCCCATGATGTCCTATCTCGATGGGTCGGTATAAACCACCTTTAGATAGGGGTCCCCCGTGCCATCTACTTTTAATTCACTATTATAGTAAGTATATGGTGCTGCTTTACCGACCACAATCCATCACAGCCAGGCTTCCAAGCCCGGAAGCAGTGCAGCTGACGTGTCTGGCGTTGAGACGAATGCCGCCGGCGACCTCACCACCTTCCTTACCGGCCTCATGACTGTGGGGTGTCGTTTCCGGGCCGACCACCGTGCTGCAAGCAAAACACCAGCTCCCTTGAACCCAGATCATTTGTGATCATACTGTACTGCATGGCCGCAAACTCGCATAGGACAGTGACAGATTTAAACATATTGCACGTCAGCTTCCACGGCTTTCGTATGATTTGTCATTCTATGATGACCTTGTCCTGCCTGGGGAGAAGGACGAATTCTGCGATGATCGCGGCCTGCGTGGTGGCTTTTATTGTATTGAAGAGCAGGCGGGGCTCCGATGTGGTGTTTAGAGATGTTTTTTGGTTGTCTAAAGTATACATTGCACCGCTTTATGTTTGGACATGTCGAGTTGGAGGATTGTAGAATGGCTGAAGTACCTTCTGGTCAGCCTACACTACTAATACTACTACTAATACTACTTCTACTACTACTACTACGACTACTACTACTTCTAATTCTACTTCTACTACTACTTCTACAACTACTACTTTTTCTGCAACAACAACAGCAACAACAACAACTACTACTACTACTACTTCTGCTTTTACTCCTGCTTCTACTTCTATGTCGACGACGACGACTACTACTATTACTACTATTCCTGTAGTGTATTGTAAGCAGTTGTACTTTACTTTTCCCTGAAGGTATCCCAAGATGTTTGCTTACAACAGCATCTCCGGCAAAGTTCCAGACACACCCGCGGATGACAATTTCTCCTGGGTGAGCTCCTCTGAGAAGAAAGTGCACGAGGAGACGGAAAAGGCTTGCTACAGGCTGTTGGTCTTTGTCAACGCTTGTGCTTTCAGGAGCACCGAAAATATGCCGGTCTCGACCATGCCATGTTGTTGGAGTTCACCATGATGTGCCGCTGATCTGAATTCTGAATCAGTTTTCACCCGCTTCACCCTCCAAGGTTTGCGCAAATGATATTCTTAAACCAGTTACACTACCCTACGGCCCTATGGGAGCCCGTGGTCGCAGTTGTATAGATGCCAAATGCTTGGTTTCAACGGTTTTAAACATGGTTGAATAAGAAGCAATTGCCGAATGTTTAGCTGAGAGCTGTAAACAATGTATACAATAGGGATTGTAGCAAAAATGCTGGGTGCGAAGATAAAGCACCTGAGGCAAGCGGATCTTGATGAAGATCGGCCTGCCAATGCCCCTCAACAGCACTTGCATCCGCAGGCCGACCCTTAAGTTCAAAGCCACAAATAAGAGCAGATGTTTTGAGATGACTATCCACATACTGTTTGTGGCAGCATGCATATACTGTATACTAATGATACATTAGTTTATCTGTTTATATATTGCTTATATATGTGTGTATATATAAACATATTATGAACGTGGCCCCGTTTGTATTACAGTAAACATAGAGGAGCTCCTCAGGGCACTAGTTTGGTGTTATACAATGGTTGACCTTGCGGCACGTTATGACCCTGAACGATTCCATGAACTGCTGCACCATGTAAGCATCAGTGAACACTTCAAATTCCAAGCTGGTTGCGGTAGATGTTGCAGCTCCGCTTTGGAAGGATACACCTTTGGGCACTCATGACCGCTCTGAGGCTCCTCATCATGAGCCCGCTGAACTATCTTTTTGGCCATGGCTCTGCTGAGCAAACCGGGGACAACCTCAGCCGGATCGCCATGGGAAATGTGCCTGGGCAGATGACATCCAGTGAAGGGCAAATCTTGGAGAGAGGTGACTCGAGGGAAAGGATGGAGAGGGTTCAGAGAGGATCATTGAATGCTATTTACACATCAATATCAGCTCTAGCCAAGGTCTAGTCCAGAATGCTGCGGAATGTGTACATACATTACATTACATTACATTACATTACATTACATTACATACATACAAATACGTTTGTGTGTGTGTTTTGCATGGCTGGGGACAGCCCTCAGCCACATTGCCCATGTATTCCCGTTGGATTGGTGCTCTTTTGCACTATGTTTGACCTTTTTGCATACACACTTCCTCAGATGGTCGGCATGTTCATCGCCAGCGTGCTAAGTCACTGCAGGTTGCGATAAGTCACCCTTGGCTGTACTACATCTACGGTCCCATCACCATCGCAGTGGCGTGGCCGAACTGGAGAAATCCACCGATGCCGCCAAGCACTGATTGCTTTGACGCAACCAAGGTGGTTTGGATCGTCCGCCGGGAGACTTTCACTTCGATGCGACGCTTTTGTGAGTCCCGCTTCATTTGGATGAAACACTTGAAAAATCCGCAGGCGGGATATATCAGAATGGGATGAATGATGAATGGATAAAAAGGATAAAATGTGGTTGATGGGGACGTAACAATCCAGTGAATCCATATAGACACAGGATTGGTCCTCATGGAGGACGAAATATGATTGGGCGTTCCGTTTGGGAGTCCAGTCCCCACACGTGCCGCGGGCTTTGTGGGTCACTTGGTCACATCATCCCTGAACTTTGGAGCTCCAGGCCTCGACGGTGATGGTGGAGGGCATCCCAGACGAGTACCAGTCGGATGAGAAGGCGCGAGACTACAGTACTCGTGCCATACACGCGCATACATATGATATATATATATAATACAATATTTTTCTTCGTGTCTTTTACACCTGCAAGCTCTCTAGCCCTTTTGGCTGTTGAAAAGCGTCGGCAACGTTCGTTGCTCTGCTTGATGTCCGCCACATCTCTTTTTCAAAGCTTTGCTCGCTGCAAATCCTTCATGATGCGGGATGGCATGTGACTGGCATTCCAAGCAGACCACCTTCCCACCCTTTCTCCACAATGAATGGCTGGGGTGACCTTGCCAGTCAGCTTGTGGTTCCCACACCTGGTTCCAGCAAGTGGACAAAGCGAGCGTGGTGAGCTTGTCTTGGGCGGAGTTTCTCAAAGTTCTTCCATTGCAGCTGGTGCAAACCACACAATGAGTCTGCAAAACAAACGTGTGGTCAGCCATGCCAGGAAGTTCGCCAGCTATCATGTGCTGGATCAACGTGGCTTTGGATTGCTTGTTGTCGCCTCCCTTCACCACCACTTCAACTGCGGCCTGGCAGTTTTCATCATGGATCTGTTGAAGCGCAT